ATGTATTTATTATTATTACACTGAAACGCATTTATTCTCAAATATTTCACAATTAATAAATTTTCTGATGTTTCAAAGTGCAAACTGATGATATTTGCAATCAGAAGAAAAATTTTAATTTAACTCTTATTTCTATTTAATTGTCATAAAGACCAAAAAAAAAAAAAAAATGTAATGTCCATGCCAAACTAATATTAACTGTTTTTAAGAAAGAAATTAAAATAAACTTTCTTCTTATTTATTTGCAGTTATCGGAAACTATTTAAAAATTTTATGATTGACTGATGAGTTAATATAGCTATTTTAAAATTAATTACTTGTAAAGGAAGAAAAAAGATTTATAAGTTGTAACTAATCTAACATTTTTCAAGTTTAAAAATTTATAATTAGGCTGCAATGACCTTAAAATAACCTATAATTGGGTTGTAATGACCTCTAATTCTGTGACGTACAATAAAGGTCAAATAGTCCCTACAACTATACGAAGTTAATAGTAACGAGTATCCTAAAACAGATGTTAGTTTATTCGTTTATTCGCACTGTTTGCGACAATTCACGAGAATTAATGAAATTTTTTAATAAAATGAACAATAACTTTAATTCTACGTATCATTAGGTTAAGTTAAATACTGTAACCATCACTGTAAATAGCTATTTGCTATAACTTGGAAAAGCTGATGAAATGTTTTCACAAAATTAACAGTTCGCGTCTAACCACCAATAAATGAACCAAAAGTTTGCTAGAATTGTCTTGCCTCATATTTTACTTTACTTTCAGGGAATTATTTCCTCAGTAGCTGTTGTAAGAATAGTATCTGGCGTAACGTAATAAATTTCTACTCAGTTTTTAAAAATGGAGTATCATTTTTTTAATAACAGAAGTAGCTGCTGCTAATATTTAATAGAAGATTGAGGAAAATCTTAAAGAATAAGGCACTGAAGAAAGTGATAAATGATTCAAGCTCGTTGTATTACCAGTTGAATTATTAACGCATGCAGCTTTGCAGAAGATTTCCTATCTTATTTAATGGAAACTTCAGAAGCATTATAGCAGTTTTTAACACAGATAAAGGCTTTAAAAAAAGAAATGGCATTTAGCTTTCAGCGCTTTTATTTTTTACTAATGCAGTTTTTAAGTCCTTGGTTCTTTTCTTTCGTCTTTCCTAGCTTATTTATATTGCAAGGAAATTGCTTTTATACACGAGGGAGTTTTCCCAAAATTTACTGCTTTTCTTTGAATTTCTATCAACTGTTGCAAAATTTATCTCTTAAATGTTATATCTTTTCTTCCTGGTTTTCTGTGTCTTATAGTTACAGGAAGAGATAAATGAATTATGTAGAGGTGACATTTGTAAATCGGTGCAGTGTATTGATAATTTATCAAATAAATGTATATAAAATAATATGTTAAATATAATGTAAAAGTAATAAAAAAGTATAATAATAAATATAATAATAATAAATAAAAAAGAATAATAAAAGTGTAATAATAAATATAAATATATTCAATATATAAGGTAAAATAAAAAATCTGAAAGCTTACAGATTTCATATTAAGCCCAAATAAGTTTTTTTTAATGTTTTGTGTCTTACCTTTATTTATTAAATATTAAATTCTTCGCTCTTAAACCGCATAAAATTCAATTCAACAGAACAGCATATCTTTAGGATTTCCGATAGACAGTCTCGCGCGCAGGAGATAAAAGTGTTTTTTTTTTCGTGCAGTGTTGTCATTTCTCGCTATGAAATCGCTCAGTTTGTTAATCAAAAATTCGTTGAACTTTTATAAAATATGAAATAGATAATAAAACAAATTCGAAATTCAAAGTTGGGGCTTTCAAATGCCCATATTTGGGTAGATGATTACGTTATTCAATACTGGATGGTTCCAGGTAGCGTCGTTTTTTCACAGTGCGAGAAACATAAATACATGCATGCAAATTTTTCATTATTTAATTTCTTTAACTATAATACACGGCGATAATATTTGGTGGCAAAAATTTAAAAAGTGATACGTCATTTATAGTAAACCGACGCAAAATATCTTTCGAGATGAATAACCGTTCTGGGCTAACGCTCTTTGGACTATTTTCAATAAAAAGATATATAATATAAAATAATATATTGCATTTTTAGTAATTCTATATTAGATATTTAGTAATTATATATGAGATATATTGCAGTTTTGATAATTATATATCTGATGGGTAAGTTCTATTTGCATAGTGACTTATGGCAGTTAGATAATGAATAAAACATTGAGGAAAAATTCTAAAATTTTAAACCCTGTCAATGGAGCTTTGATTCATTAGTATATTCATCAAACCAACTTTCAAATTTTAAAAAAGAATCGAGCCAATTTGCGAGTACCTGGAATTTCTGAGATATTCTGAAAAATGTTTGTAAAAGTTTGATTTCCATTGCAAATGTTCTTTTCTATTCAAAAACGGCATATTCGACGAGAACCAGTTTTAAAAACTGAAAGATGCTTCAGTTAATGAAAAATTTTTTTCCTTTTTTCGTAGCAGAATTGGACAAAATGTTTTTCATTTCTTTAAAGAACTTTTCTGTATCATTTTTCGGATTTCTTCGGATTTTCTAATCATTTTTCGAGTTTCTGAATACTAGCAATTTGATTATCTGAAATTTCTTGAATGGTTGATATGCAGCTGTTAGCTTGAGGTTCTTCTGAACAATTTACACATTTCAGTTTTTAAAATCTGGAGCATGGTTATATCCGACAGGCTGATGTTTAAAATATTGGATGTTATCATGAAGAGCCTTTTTATGAATTCAAAAATCAAGCTAATGGATTACGTTATAAATTTTTCTAATCTTATGGTTATTCGGAAATTCTGCAAATTAAATCTGGTTCTTTTCAATATTTGAGCTTTTGTTTATATTGAATCGATGTTTTTTTTTTTTTTTAATTTTTAAATTAATTCATACTGCACTCTTCCGTTTAGATTGATTACTCTTTTATATTCTCAAGAACAGTATTTCCATCTAGCATTTCACGACAGAACGAGCGGTAAAGAATTAATTGTTAGAAATATTACATTCCATATCAGCTCGATTAATTTATCAAAACATGTTTATAATTGCTAATTCAGAAGACAAACAACAAAAATCAGCGTTATATTTGCAAAATTTCCACAGGACTAGTTTCGATGGTTTTACCGAACCACCATCCTCAGCTGCAAAACCGCAAATGAACAAGATAGGAAAAAATGATTAGATAAGATAAGAAAGCCTGGACAAGAATAAGCAAGTGGAGGATGGTGGTTCGGTAAAACCATCGAAACTAGTCCTGTGGAAATTTTGTAAATATAACGCTGATTTTTGTTGTTTGTCTTCTGAATTAGTATTTATTCGGCGTGTTATTGTGTCTTAATGTTTATAATTGCTTTATAAGTTTTCAAAAATTGCAAAAAAGAAGAGAAACAATATTTACTAAAAGAAAAACTGAATATGTTTTATATCCCAACAAAGGTTTATTTATGAGTGATTTTTTTGGGCTTAAAAGGGACATTAGTCCCAAATGGGAGATTAAATTAATCTCGAAACAGCGTTTATCGTTGAATCACTATAAACGGCGTATCACTTTTCAAACGTTGCCACCAAATATTATCGCCACCAATTATTATATTTAAAGACATTAAATAGGGAGAATCTGCATGAATGAATGTATGCATTTTTCTCGCACGAAAAAACGGCGGTACCTAGATCGAGCCAATAAAGTTTGAATAATGTAGTCTTCCATCCCAACATGGGGAACCTGAGCGCTCGAATTTTGAATTTAGAATTTGCTTTATTATTTGTTTTATACTTTGTGAAACTTTAACGAATCTTTAACGAATTTAACAAACTCAACGATTTCAAAGCGAGCAGTAGCACCACTGTACGGGGGAAGGGGAAATACCTTTTTTTATCTTCAGCGCGCGAGATTGTCTATCGGAAATTGCAAAGGTACGTTGTTTCTTTTAAATATTTTGTGACTTTGCTGTTGAATCAAATTTAATGTAGCGTAAGCATCAAAACGTGATATTTAATAAATAAAGTAAATACACAATATGTTAGTAATAAAAAGACAAGAAAAAAAAATCTTTTGTAAACCTATCTTAGTGAGAAAAACTGAACATTGATATTGTGAACAGAGAAAAACTGGAAAAAAAAAAAAAAACCCAGAAGGAGGGGGGGGGGAAACCAGAAAAGTAATATGCCAACGCTGCATTGGAAATTCTAAACATGAACTGCTATGTTACTTTTAAATTTTTTTATAATTTTGCCTCAAAATGGATGTGTTCGGATTGAACTACGGTGGTACGCATAATGGAACTTAAGTACAACCTTAATATATCAAAGATTTTTAAATACAATGTTTTGTTTATATTGCATGTATTCTTTGATTTATACAGTTATTCATTTTACGATTTGCTTCCATATACTTTGGATTTTAAAAAGGTTTATGAATCACAAATAAATAAATAAATAAAATAGAACGAATAAAGAAAAAGAAAAACATTTTGTAATACGAGGTAATTTACAACAAATCTCATGAACAGGTAAATGTGGCGACATTAAGTAATTTATTGTAAGAGTGTTTAAAATTCTAAAAATGTTAAAATATTTTCTTTAAGAACTGTTACGGAAATATTGGTAGCATTGGAAAATAGCATTTAGCTAGAAAGCAGTGAAATCTCATTCACGAGACCATATAATGTGTTTCTTCGATTATGTGACGCATTGTTCAGTATCCCCCAGGGGGAAAAAAACTTTGTTTATAAACAAGCAAAATAAGCGAAATAAAAACTTTAGAATTTTTTAGTAATGTACCTCGAATTTTTTAACATTATTATATTTATTTAAAAATTATTTTAATCATTAGTAATCTGCGATCCGAAGCCACAGTGTACATCATCATATTGTCTGTAATTGTTGTATTTAATTTTTGAGGAATCGAAACGCCTATATATTCACTAAATTATCTTTTTTTTTAGGTTTTGGACAGTGCAATTGCAGCCTTCACCTTAGAAGTCATTGCTCGTCACGGGGATCCAGCTTCCAGACTGTGCAATAAAGACCCCTTCACACTTCGCTCTTCCGTTTACCTGCACAGCCTCTTCCCCAATGCCAAGTTCATTCTCGTGCTGCGAGATGGACGGGCCGTTGTTCATTCCATCATATCAAGAAAGGTAAGAAAAATTACATAAAATCAGTGTATGGTTTGGGAATACTAGAACTGTTTCGAACAAGTTGTTACATTGCTAGTGTGGTCTCGTCCTCCGAGTCTCGGTTCTATTAGCTGGATGTTCATAATTGTAGGGATGCACAGTTACTTGGATAGATACGTAGACAGTTAGCTGCATCATTGTAGGGATGAATAGTTACTTAGATACTCATTGTAGGAATGCACAGTTACTTAGATAGTTACTTAGATACTCATTGCAGGGATGCATAGTTACTTAGATACTCATTGTAGGGATGCACAGTTACTTAGATCGTTACTTAGATACTCATTATAGGGATGCACAGTTACTTAGATAGGTAGACAGCTGCATCATTGTAGGGATGCATAGTTACTTAGATACTCATTGTAGGGATGCACAGTTACTTAGATAGTTACTTAGATACTCATTTCAGGAATGCATAGTTACTTAGATACTCATTGTAGGGATGCACAGTTACTTAGATCTTTACTTAGATACTCATTATAGGGATGCACAGTTACTTAGATAGTTACTTAGATACTTACTGTAGGGATGCACAGTTACTTAGATAGATCGGTAGACACTTACACAGATAGATAGGTAGACAGTTACTTACACAGATAAGTAGACAGTTAGCTTCACGTTTATACGAACATACTGAAGAATAAATACGAGTAAATAGACAAAGGTACATAGGCAAAGAGATATATGTAGATGTGTTGCTAATTCTGATAAATAAAAGAGACACATTGTGACATTATTTAATTTATTATTCACAACATCTTTGATAGAAGTTTCTCAAACTTTTGATTTTTTAGCCGTTACGTATCATAACATTTATTTTTCCAATCAAACCCAAGAACTTATTTTTTATTTTTGACAAAGCTAAATAAGAAATACAGCGTTGCCAATGAATCCGTTTTCCTTTAAAAATTATTAGACAGGTAAATAGCTTACATTTATCCCGTGAATATAAATAACATTTAACTGTTAATGATGATTTGACAACAAATTTTACATAATATAAGTAGACTTGTCCTCCGGTTTTTTCCAGTCGCTAAGTCACATCCTTCCACAAGTCTTTCTTCTCTGACGAAGATAAAGTTTCCGAAAGAGTTTTAACTTAGAGGGAACTTTTCAACCAGTTTCCCTTTCTGGTATGTAACCGAAGCCTAATTTTCTGTACACGATACAATCATTAATAACTGTTTGGAAGAAATTCACATAAATACCGAGCCTCGTAACTCAGGCTGCATTACCTTAATGATTAAGACAGCTAATTGATAAAAATGCAGAGCTGGATCAACCCCTCTCAAAGACGACCATCTTATGTGTTCAACTGATTTTGTTTTTCCTGTTGGTGGTTGCCATCTTTGGTGGTATTCATTGAGAGACGGGAATTCCATACCGAGGTATCCACCATACTGGCCAACTTCAGAGGTCAAATACTGGTCAGTTTCAGAGGTGGTCATCGCGAGAGATTTCTTTGTATTTGCTACAAGTGAAAATGAGTAATCTTTGTAGATAATATATTCAAAGAAAACTGTATTACTCTTGCGGGCGAGCGGGTTCGTAAGAGATTGAATACACTCACAAACAATGATAGTTTAATAAATTATATTTTTTACCAAACGAAACACTTAACAGTTCTGGAACTCTCCACAAAAACACTCTTACAGCTCTTCTCAGTATCACAGAATACAATCAATAGTTACTCTTTAAACTACGAAGTTAAACACAACACAATGCTAAGCGCATCCAAAAAGGCAAAGCCCCTATGGAGATCTCTCAATACTCCGAACTCAAGCTGAACTAAACAACTGAGAACTCTATGCTCTCACTAGTCCTATATAGTTTTCTCCCCGGTAACCGAGAATACTTCTCAAAGTTACTGGAAGGCATGTGAGGACCGGATATGGTTACATTACAGGAATAAATTACATTTATTCAATCCCAATACCAATTACACTTATACAGGGACCGGACCTAAATGTCACCAAATGGCACAAATTTGGCGACTTAGCGATATCTTGATTATTTACCGAGATAGCTATTTACTCAATGTCAAATAGACTTGCACCCTGTAATATTATTTTTCCGGTAGAACATCGCCTCTTTCAAGCATTTCGTGTTGCATTATACAAAGAAAAAAGAAAGAAAAAAAAGCTACAATTTCACTAAAGTTAAATTCGAAATATTACATTTCCATTACATAGACGAATTGAAGTGATAAAATTTAGTCACTGATTTCATTAAGTTATAATTTGGAAAGAGCTTCGTTAAATTAAATTGGAAATGGTTTCGTAAAGCTCCGTACATTGCCGTACATATCTGATTGAATGTGCGGGAATAAAATCGTACCAACATCTAATCTGCCAGTACGAAAGATATAACAAGTAGCAGTATGGTATTGTTACGAAGTGTAAAGGCGCGGTAAGATAGCTTCCCCGCAAAGTAGTTTTAGGGTTGCTATAAAATGGCAAAGGAAGGCAAAGTTGCCATATTTGGCGAGAAATCGCCCATTTGGCGACAAAATTGGCGATATACCATGGACGGTAGGAGAACCTTCTGGAACAAATTCTTAGCCCAGAATGTTCTCGAACACCAGCCAAAAGCTATATAAACCCTGCTGATACGCGGAGAGTTAGTTACGAGTTAGTGTGTGTCTCGTCTAGCGAGTCAATCCCTGAGGAGTCGATTGAGTTGACAGCCGGGCAGCGAGTGCCGAGTGGGTCGTCGAGTGCACCGAAGGAGTCTCTTAGTGTATCGCGGTTTGTGCATCGTCGAGAGAGCTCCTTGAGCTCCGAGAACGACTGAACTGAAGAGTCGGGAGCTGTGCTCGTGTGTCGTCGAGTGCATTACGAGTTGTAGCGTGGAGAGTCTCGAGAGTACATGGAGTTCCGAGAACGACCTAGGAGAGTCGAGAGCTGTATTCTGATGCTTTGCAGTGAAGCTGTCTCCACCGGGATAGCCTGATAACCTGAAGGCTGAGTCGCTGATTGTTCCAGCGAGTGTATATAGTAGATCTCCGACGACTGTAAAACGTGACTTTGGAGTTGTCCTGACAATACTTGCAAATAAAGTGTGTTTCGATACTTCTTCAAGTGTCGTCGTTATTCACTCCAAATCCACACGAACCCCGTACGAACGTGAAGGAAGAAAATTACGTAACAACTGGTGTCAGAAGTGGGATTAACGAGTGAATGCCAGTGACCCGCCTGCAGAAGAAAGCCATGGCGGAGGAAACGAAGACTTTGATGGACTTCTTAGCCGAGATAAAAGCCGGATATGCTGAGATATAAGCCGGATGGGCTGAGATAAAAGCCGGATATGATGAGTTAAATGCTGGATATAAAAGGATAAAAGCTGGATATAAGGAGATGACAGCTAAGATCAAAGCCGGACTAGGAGAAAGGCCGATGAGAAAAGATAAATGGCGGCCAAGAAATTGTCCGAGAGCAACTCCAACAGGTGAAAGTCGTGCTTCCGGAAGAAAGCGGAGCCATAAAAGAAGATGTGGAAATGAGAGAAGTAGCATCTGAAGAATCAAAGGATGAGGAAAAGAAGAAAGTAGCTAATGAATTGTCTGAGAAAGACCAAAGCATTAAGGATGAAATATCTAACGGGAATAAAGAAAAAAAAAAAAAAAAAACGAAAACATGAAGACATAAAAGACAGGAAAGAAGCTTTTGATTCTTAGAAGAAAATGAAAATGCGACTGTTAAGTTCGTCAAAACTAATAGTGAAGTTACGAAGTCTCAGGCAACAGGTGTTGAACCATCTGTGCACATGTGATGAAGAGATGGGACAAGCTGATGTGCAGCTTAAGCACTGCGCTCCAGTACTGCAAGAACATTCACCCACTTCGCAAGCTGGGTGTGTATCTCATAGTGCAGATTTTGTAGACAAGGATTTGATTCTAAACCTGGATACTTGTGTTTGTGAAGAATTGGGTTCCATCCATGACTCTGATGCAGAATTTGGAGCTGGTTCCCAGGAAACGAAGGAAAATAAGCATGTACCATCTGCTAAAAGTATCGCGGTGAACTATACACGTGATGTGAACAAACTTCAGAGTAGTGAACAAACTGTTTCAGATTTTCCCGTGGAGGAAAATTCTGAAAGGACTGAATCTTCAGACTGTGATATGCAAAACAGAAATATATCTGAAAACGGCAGCGGAAAAGTATTTGACCCGAGTATAATTTAGTGAATACACTGAGACTGAAATTCATTCAGAACTTTAATTTGTATAATTTAAAATTGTGATGTGTTTAATTTGTGTATATAATTTGTATATAGTGTAAATATTTGTTTCTTTAGTTATGTTATCTGTATATTTTATTACCTTTTGTTTGTATCGAATTTGGCTTCTGACGAAGGGTTGTACTGCCCGGAACTTGCAGTCCTTGGGAGGGGCAGTGCTACGAAATGTAAAGGCCCTGTAAGATAGCTTCCCCCGCAAAGCAGTTTTAGAGTTGCCATAAAATGGCAAAGAAAGGCAAAGTTGCCACATTTGGCGAGAAATCGCCCATTTGGAGACAAAATTGGCGATATACCATGGACGGTTGGAGAACCTTCTGGAACGAATTCTTACCGGTTTAGCCCAGAATGTTCTCGAACACCAGTCAAAAGCTATATAAACCCTGCTGATACGCGGAGAGTTAGTTACGAGTTTAATGTGTGTCTCGTCTAGCGAGTCAATCCCTGCGGAGTCGATCGAGTTGACAGCCGGGCAGCGAGTGTCGAGTGTGTCGTCGAGTGCACCGAAGGAGTCTCTTAATGTATCGCGGTTTGTGCATCGTCGTGAGAGCGCCTTGAGCTCCTAGAACGACTGAACTGAAGAGTCTGGAGCTGTGCTCGTGTGTCGTCGAGTGCATTACGAGTTGTAGCGTGGAGAGTCTCGAGAGTACGTGGAGTTCCGAGAACGACCGAGGATGCTTTGCAGTGAAGCTGTCTCCACCGCGATAGCCTGATAATCTGAA